AATCAATAACGAATACTTTATATCATGCAAGTTAACGAAAATTCTTAAACGTAATCATCCATTCTCTTCTTTCCAAACGCATAAACTGAAAGCGTATGAAAATAATGAAGATTGAACGTATAAATGTCTTATCCCTGGCGGTAACGTGTTAGTAGAAGAAAAAAGAGGATATCGATCATAAAAAGGAGAAAGAAAGAGGAGAGAGAGAGAAAGAGAGAGAGAGAGAGAGAGAAAGAGAGAATTCGATTCGGTTCGAGTCGCAAAGTGGTATATACATCGGATAGCAGTCCAGCAATGAGAAAGTCAGAAGTATTCTTGACAAGAACAAGCCAAACTCGCGCCCCCAAAAATCGATTATATTTATCGAATTCCAAGAGTCCATTCTTCCGGAATGGTGACGTGTCTTTGGAAATAAGTCCGATAACTCTGTTTTACGAGCGCTAGCTCACGTTAGACAAAAGGAGCCCTAGAGGCTTTCTATTTCGGTTATATCGAAGGACGTCCGAGAAAAGAAGTGCGAGATAACAAGGATCCAAAGGGTCGTCGTAGCAGTCTAGAAAGGGTTATCTAATAAGCTACCTCGAAAGGGTTACCTTTCCCCGTGTTTCAAAAGAGTCAAACCACCCTACCAACTTACCACCCTAGCACCTTACCACCCTACCACCTCTTTCACAAGTCTCCGCTGGCTCCGCTCTCTTCTTTCTTCCTTCTTTATTTCTTTTTCCTACTTCTCTTTATCGAGTAAGGTTCCCCCGTATCGACTACGATCGATAATGTCTGTATTCACGATTCCTCGTATAATCTTAAGCAATATCGTATCTGGATGGCGCCACCTCGTAACCGGCACGACACTCATCGATGAAACCGGCGACCCCAATCCGTGATTTCCATCGACCATTGGAAGTCGGAACCATAATCAACCCTTCGTGGAAAAGGGATCTAACAGGGTCAGAGAATGTTGCACTGGCGGGGAAAGACCTTTTTTGATTTTCGAGACACCCTCTCGCTTAAATTTTCAGAAAGATCTTTAAACATTCAAACGAAGAGGGTGGATTTATAATTTGATCCGATAAAACGTTCAAATTTGCTTCGTTCAGTTTTAAGTACTACTCTAAGATAAAATGTCTGTAAGCGAGAGATTTTTTTTAATAGGTAAAGAGGAAAAAAGGTATTCGAAAAGGGTAGACCAACGTAATGTGCAATCGGATGAAACCTTAGATGTCTTGAAAGTAACGTTAAAACCATCCCGTCCTTCCCACCTTGGCCAGCTCCAACCGCGTAACTGATTACATGAAAATCGCTGTCATAATATAGGTCAGACGACGTATCATAAAATGTTCAAGGACGTTAAATGTAAAAAACTATTTAGCGAACTTTTACATACTGACATCTAATGAAATTGTTTGTTATAATTTGTAAAAGAAGTTGTAGCCGAAAGGAAAGAGAATATGAAAATAAGAAAAGAAAAAAAAGAAAAAAAAGAAAAAAAAGAAAAAAAAAGAAAAATAAGACAATTTTCCAATTATTAAAGTATATGTTCTTTGTCATTATCATTAAAAAATTTTGTTCGTTGACAAAATCGAGCTATTCTGCAAATAAGCGAAATGATTTTTAAAAAGTCAATTAGATTCGTGTTTTCATCTTTATGAAACGACCTAGAGTCGCTAAGCTACTTGGCAGCTTTTCCATTTTCTAATGTCGTCGGTTTTAGCGTACTTAATTGCAACCTCGAATGATCTCAATGGATCTAAAAACAGGTATTTGGAAACTTGGTGCTTTTCGTGATCGTAAGCTGACCGATATTGGTCACCGAAATGAGTTTTCGCGTGTGCCTACTGTCCACGAGTCTTATTCGTAGTCCTTGCGTGTGAAAAAGATTTATGAGAACCTGACGATGACGTAAATCACCTAATATATAGTTCACATACCTTCGGGAATGCGAAGCTATTTATAAGCGATGGTAGGTAAAACGTGGATATAGGTGACTGTGATTCGAATAATTCTACATAAGCGAGAGAGAGAAAGAGAGAACTCGAACGATCGATACTCTCTACGGGCAATTAACCTGAATCACGAAGAACGGCAAAAACAATGAAAATTCAAGTGAATTCGTCTACTACACAAATCGGGAACTCGATATTCGAATCTAACGTCGATTCTCAAAAGTTCTATTACAAAGTCTTTGAAACAAGAGTTTATATCCATCTCAAAGAACATGAGTGAAAAGAGAGAAAGAGAGAGAAAAAGAGAGAGAGAGAGACAGAGAGAGAGAGAGAGAGGAGTTTAAAAGAACAGACTAGCCGAGGTTACAGTGGGATTTTCTAAGACTTGACCTACTATTGCAGTTTAAAGTGTCGCGCTGACACTTCCCAAGATGGCGTCGTAGAAAGTACGCCCACTCAACGGAGCCTTACAATGCTTCTAGAGAGCTTTTTGTTCTAGAATAAAGACCATCGTACCCGATCTGAGTTATACACACTTTTGCTAGACCTTTTGCTAAATATCCTGATTTTTAAACATTGAAAGCAGATACTTAAATGTTCATCCAGATTTGACAAAATTTATAACGAAATTTACTTACTGAAAAAATATCAATAATCCTGTTCTTAAAGCTTATATTATAACATATGTTTCTCGCACGAAGGAAAATATTTTTCTAAAAGTTCTACCTCTTTTTTCCTTTTTTTTTCTTATCCTCTTTTTCTTTTTTTTCTTTTTTATCGAATTCACAAAATTATATCTCTCTATTGTTAGACACCTATAAAAAGATTCGCTTTACACGAAAAATAATTTTCAACGGTGCGTTGTCAGTCGACGAGAACGTCTGGCTGTTTTAAAGGGATCCGTGAGAGAGCAAGGAATGAATTAACGAAGACATCGAAACCCCATTACTTTCACGGTGGCTTCGGTAGGTTTTAATTGCGGATAGAAGGTAGAAAGATATTACAAATATGGCACGGATCCAACTGCTTTGGATCCGGAAAAAATAATAGTCCGTTAACTCGGCAGTCTGTCCGTCTATCTCTCGCGAGAAAATCATTCAACCTATTTGCAGGCTCTCGAAGAATTCTCTTTCTGTCTTTCTACCTCTCTCTTTCTCTCTCTCTCTCTCACTCTCTTTCTCTTTTTCTTTCTCTCTCTCTTTCTCTCATTCTTCTTCGTCTTGAATTCGTGTCTGCACTTGGAAAGATATTCGGTTTTTGACTTTTAGCAGCAGAAGGACAACGACGACGAAGACAACGTACTCATCCAACGGATTGTTATTCTCTGAGGCGTTGTTGTCCCGATCGACCATCAGATTTTAATTGCGGACAGAAGGAAGAACCATGAACGCGTCGGCTTGCATTAAGTAGAAAAGAACCGTCTTGGCACGGACATTTTCAGTCTCTTGGAAGATAATAATTACGTGATACAATATAGGCGCCGGTCTGCGCTGGTATCACCTTTCTCTCCTTGTTTCGGGGACAGAGAAGTAGCACTTTGCGTTACTGGGGTAACGAGGAGGATATTGCTGGATAATAAGACGGTTTTAAAAAGTATGATATAATGGACAAAACCGTTTTCGGTTTTAATGAACGAATGAGAACAACTGAGAAAGACTGAATGGTGGAAATTTATCAAAAACTATTTTTATCGGTGATAATGTTAATATTAAAAGGCCATACAACGATATTGACCTAATCTTTTTTTAAATAATTACTCCAAGCTACTTTATTCTCAAATGACTATCTTTCTCTCTCTTTCTCTCTGTTTTCGAGATCGTAAAAGAAGTTCGTTTGAAGTTTCAGCTCCCGGAAGGTGAAGAGAATCCGTGATTTTATGCTACGAGATTCTTTCCTTCCTCATAGTCGACGTTGTCGTCGATTTCGTCGTCGTCGTTGTCGTCGTCGTCAGTGGTTGCAGAGGTATCGTCGTCATAAGGTTTCGTTGTGGGCGAACGACGAAGGAGAGCCTTGGCGATGGCACCCTTGCCCTTGACTGTAGGCGCGAGAATGCTTGTCTGAGGGTTGCCTGGACTCCCAGACAGACTGGGTAGACGCAAAAAGGAAAGTGAGAGAGAAAGAGAGAGCAAGAGGGAAAAGGGAAAAGCACCGACGAGACGCGTATCGTCCTACAACCCTCCGTCCGCCTACTCCTCTTCTGTATCTTTCATTGCTTCTATGCCTGAGCACAGTGTCTATGTATAGCCGCATAGAATCGTCGTTCATAGTGTCCGGACGTGGAGCAAGTAGAGTCGCCTCGAGTGGAGGGTGACGAGAGGACTGACGGAAGTTTAAGTGCTCCTTCGGCTTGCTCTCGCTGGTTCGCTCTAACACGCATAGTTAACTGGCTCGACCTGTCGACGCTATTGCCAGAGTTAGTTGTCAATCTCTAGGAAGCAACCTTTTCTTTGAACTTCCGTAGCAGCGGCGACGTTGTTAGTCTCTGTTCCAATGGCATCGCTAGAATTCACTAATGATTACCTCTTTTTCTTTCTCTCTCTCTCTCTCTCTCTCTCTTTCTCCGACATGAATCCGTCGACATTGTAACTAGTTTATTCGGAATATTAAGATTGGCCACTAGAGTACCATGGTAACGTTATCCGCTTATGGAAACACCTAACTCGTCCAACGTTGCGAACTATCGACCAGCATATTGTTTGCGTGTAATACGAGCTTCTACCACTCGTGGGAATCCTTTTAAGAAACTGCAGAGTACCTCTCCTGTCGTACTTAAGTGAGAAATCGCTCGGAGCATCTCAGCAGAGAATTGTAGAATAACGGTTGCGCGCACGCGTTTCTGGCAAACGCTTCATCGAATTCTTAATGCATTCCAAACCGTGCACGAGCTAGTAAACGAATGGATTCTAGCCGTACAGCAAGAATTCGAGAGATTCTTTGAATTCCACTCATGGGATTCCCTCAGCATCTATCTCGTGTTATGTATCGCACTTTATACGATTATCAATGTTCGGAAATTTTTTTTCTAATTAGAATCTTAAAAGATTTATTAGTACTCACCTTTCAGATGTTCAGGAGTATCCGCAGCACCGGCTCGCATGATATCGCTTAGATAATGTTCCAATGTCCGCATACTGTCCAACGGTGAATTTCCATTGGCCGTCATACGATCCTGAAAGCAATTCATTCGTTAACCCTACGTTTCCGATAAAAGAATTCGTTTTATTTTTCGGTATCGACATACACCAATAATAGATCCATCGTAAAATCACTTTTCATCGCAAGATAGATACTTCTTAGGAAGCTCGTATAAGTTAGCCCGCACTTTGCTAGCCAGAGGCAACCTGAATCTCGGTCCTTTCATCGCTCTTGCTATTATCCTTAATCGAAATGAGCTCCTCTGGTCAAGAAAAGACTTTTAGAGACGGGCGAGAGAACAGACAGAATGGCCGTCTCGCAGACGGCAGAGGAAAGAAACAGAAAAGACGAAGAAAGAAGGAGAGAAAAAGGAAAAAGAAAAAAAAAGAAAAGAGAACTAGCCGACGGTGGTGATGGTGGTGGCGATGGTGGCGGCGAGAGTAACCTGAAAGAAGATAGAGGTAGCAAGGTGAAACAGAAAGAGGGTGTAGGACGTGAAAAAAAAGAAGAGCTCGTAATAGACCACTTTCGACGAAGCGGAGTGCAGTTAATGCAAGGAAACATTGAAAAGTCTTTTTCCTCTTCATCTCTCTTTATTCTACACCGAGTTTTCTCTGATTCTTTTTTTCTTTTTCTTCAATCGCAAACCTATGTTGCACATTGTTTTCGTTAATAAAAAAAAAAATAAAAAAAAATCTTGTTTAGACGATGTACCAACGACAATAACGATGAAAGTGTCTAAAATGTCTTATAAAAAAATTCATCTACTAACAAATTCAACGTCGTTCTACTTTCATAGATTGCTTTTCTTCTTCTTCTTCCAATCCACGCAAACATTTCGCAATTCCTTGGTAGTATTTCACTGATAGGACTTCAGCAGAAAAGATCTCATTTGGGGATAAACCAATAAGTTTCTACAATGTTAAAATGGTTACATCAACTTACGTGGGTACATTCGTACAAGTATGTATTTACGTGTGTGTGTGTGTACGTGTGTATATATATATACATATATATTCATACATATATACATACATAAATATATGTATGAGTATATGCATGCTTGAAACGTATATGCTAACAATAAACTACAAAACAATGAGAATAACAACGAAATACGGGACAACGCGCGTAAACCCTTTTAGGTGATTAAAACTCACAAGGAAAGTATTCGAAAAGCACTTTCGCATTCACGCACAAGCATCTACAATACTGTTTCAACGATTCGGCATCGAGAAGAAAAGGGGTGATCGTGTTCTCGGTACTTTTAGCGGTTCCTAAAGTACCACTCCTTTCGTCGGAAGTTCGCCACCCGCTTTCACCCTACCTACCATAGGCTCTTCGCACCGTCGCGTCGTGAAAAAAAAAAAGAAAGAAATAAAATAAAAAAGAAAGAAAGGGTCTCACGAGTTATGAGTACAGGCAGGAGCTTGGTAAATGAGCTACCAAAAAATGCTTGCCCGTATCCATTGACTCTGACCAATTGAGAAAAATGAGCGAAATATAACGGAAAATAAAAGCGGATGATGGGATAGTAAGAAAGAAATACTACTTGACGCGTACAAATATCGCAGCTGTCTATTTCCTCTTTCATACTGATTCTTCTATTTCCCTCCTGGGTGTATAGTTATTCGTTTGTCCGAGTGTGAATGATGTTTCACTGTTTCATGTTAGCAACGCGTTTTCATTACATATATATAATATATATAAGATATACAAATAAATGGTAAATTTCATATCTATTGAAGATAATTGAAGTTGAGATCGAATTATTCGAGGTTATTCTCCTCGAAAGAGATCTCAATGGTTAAAATTCAAATAATAAAAGTACATTGTTAAGCGAGGAGGAAGAGACCGTCAAAGTTTGTAATCCCGATACGTCTCTCTCACAATGTTCTCATTTAGTTCCTTTAACAGTGGTGCAATATTTCAATCGATCCGCTACGAGAAATTCGGATGTTTCTTTTTTCGGTGAAATGACCGTGACATTTATTTGGTCAAGTCCGGTGGGTCAATAAAAAAAAAAAGGAGTCAAAAGAAAATGAAAAGAAACGAAAGAAATATACATCCAATCCGGGAATCCGGGGATATATTTTCCGGAAATAGAGGGGCACGAAAAGTAGGAAACACATTCCTGAAGCTTCGACGTCAAATAATCGGTCCATCTCTCTTCACTGAGTACGGGCGGAGGTGCAAAAGGTGGCCCCACCTTTTCCACCGGCTCTCTTTTCTCGTCTCTTTCGAGCAACCTGCAACCCCCAGACCGCATGCTTGTTCATCCCTTCTCTCTTTTTTCTCTGACACACAGACACAGATAGAGATATACAAACACACACACGCAAACGCACACGTACATACACATACAAAAGCTTTTCTAACTTCTACCCTCTCCTTTTCTCGTTTTCTACCACTGAGCGAACCCTCTTCTTCCCCTACTCCTACCACCGACTTTACCCCTACCCCTTAGCGAATCACTCCCACTTCGTCTTTCCAGTAAAGCCACGGATGTTCTAGCTCGGTTCCAACCCACTTCCCCTTCCTTCCTACTGAAAGTATGCATACAAGCACGCGCGCTCGCGTTCACCTAACACCTACTCATTAACGAAAACTCACACACGTGAGCGCGTCCGCGCGCGAGTTCTCTCGTGCGTACTATCCGTCTCTATCAGACCCACAGCGCACGCCGTATTCTATCTCTCCCTCTCTTTCTCTCTCTCTTTCTCTCTCTCTCTCATGCTCTCGCACAGCACTGTGGAAAATCAATATAGGGAAACCAGGAAGCAGCAGCAGGGCGTCGACAGCAATCTCTGTGCAGCCTCCAACCCTGTACCGCCCTTCCTCTCTCCCACTCTAGTAGTCTGACCGCTCCACCCCTTATTTTACCACCCCTACAAAGATATCTCGATCCTCTTCTGTTTCTTCTTCCTTTTCTTCTTCTGGTTCCATCGTTCGTTTATCTCTATTTCATGTTTATCCATGACCACCAGATTCGTACTCACGGATAACTATCGGCCCGTTTTCTTGCCCTACATCTTTCTTCTTTTCTCCAATATCTTTCTATGTTCGACCTTTTTTTTATTTATCTCCTTTTTGTTTATCCATCCAAGCTCCGTTCTTGTTTAGTTTCCTTTATTATGAATCCCCATTCGAACGGTAGAATGGAATAATTTCAATTTACTACCCTTATCGACCGTCCTACTATTTTTGGAGCAGCGGCGGTGCTGCGCCGCAAGTGCTGCCCTCTTTTCTCGTTTGTTTATCCGCGGTATAAAGGTCAGAAGTTGTTCCACTTACACGAGCCATACCATTGGCTTCTTGTTGCTTCACCCTTCCTCCTATTCTCTTTCTCTCTCTCTCTTTTCCTTTCTCTCTCTCTCTCTCTCTCTCTCTCTCTCTCTCTTTCTCATTACTTTGAATTCTCCATCTTACTTGTAGTATGTCATTAAATGAAATTGCTAACAAACCTACTTATTGTTATGTATTAATAGATATAAACCAACTCATACGTATGATACATAAATCGTTTCTTAATACCTATTGCCAGTCATGAACCTTGAACGATGACACTCTTGACCACCATTGATTACCGCCTACCCAACCATACTATCACCAAAGTCAATACTATTACCACTTCTACTACCATTCCGAGCGTTATCGTCGACGACGTAACACATCCACCCCTCCAACTAGGATTTACTGCGCAAATTTTCTACCACGTCAAAATAGGGAGAATGCACGAGGAAAGGAAATGCCAACGGATGACTGGAAATTGGGTGATTTGGAAAGAGTAACGAAGAAAACATTTCAGTGTCGTAGAATCGTATGAATGGGGAGCCCCGAATACTTGTAGTATAATTTTTATATAATTTTTATTAAAATGGAAAGAAAAGAAAAAAGAAAAGCAAAAAAGAACTAGACAAACAAAAAATGACTAGACATTTCTAAAAATGCATTTCACGACATAACGAACTGGTGAGAAAGATTTTTTCCTTCAAGATCTAGACTCGTCTAATTCGAGAGGCAAGTCATAATTACGTACGAGAAAGCTTCAAGGACCGAAGACTGCAGCAAAGAGAAGACAAGAGTACCGGAAGTTACAGAAAACTTTCTTTTTCGCACTTCCATATCTTCGTCTAGACATGGTTGTTCTTGTGTCTATCTTCTCTCCCTTGTTCTATATACGTTTTTGTACTCAACGAGTCCTTTTTTTTTACACCATGTCTCGTCTGACGCACAATCTAGCGTACACGCACACACACACGCACGCACGCACGCACACAGACACACACACACGCACAAACACCTGAGAGGCACATAAGTCGACCTCTCAAAGCTCAACTGTATCTCAGAACACAGAATCCGCACACGCACGCATACACTCATATACGTATTGAACTTGCATGAGGTGCTATGTGCTTTACAAGGTGTGCGCTTTCACCACGACTCCTATGATACATCCATTAGACTCCGTAGAGGAACAATAATTATTATGTTGGAGGGAATACTACTAGTGGCATCAAGGGTAAAGATGTATGTGTTATGCATGTATATATTTGCAATAGAAAGAAAGAGAAAAAGAGAAAGAGAAGAAGAGAGAGAGAGAGAGAGAGGGAAAGAAAAGAAGAGGGAGAGATTAAAGTTTGAATGGGAGATATACGAAAAGAAGTGAAACAAGACGAAGAGGAACACAGAGAAATGAGGAAAAACTCGAACGAAAAATGTTGAAGTGTCACCGACAATACTGGAAGACCTTTTAACGTATATTATGCAAACGCTACTTCCTATTCTTACTTCCCTTTTAACGTACCATAAGCTGTTAGGGATACATTCCATACGTGATTATATCAATAATAATATCGATTTAAAACCACTTTTATTCTTTGAAGATAACATCAATCGATTGAACATATTATGAGAAGTATAAAAAGAGAAAGAGAAAGAGAAAAACAAAGACAAAAATAAAGAGAGAAAGAGATAGAGAAAAAAAAGTTTCAGAATACATTTTTTATCAGCCCCAAAGCGAACACAAGAAACACGATAAAATTTCTCGAAAAAGAACCGCGTCATCGTAGGTCGATAAAATTGTGTTCTGGAAGGCTGATTTCCTTCGCGTAAGATTTATAGATAGCCCCCAGGTCCGTCTTTCTCCCTTCCCTTCTCGTTGAAGAAATCTGCTGACCCGAGGGGTCGATGCGGTATTGCCGGAGTGAAGATCACCGATAGAGTGAGGGAAGGGTGTGGAAGAAGAGTATACAGGGCAGACATAGCGTAGCCTGGATCCCTAGGCGTGTACGAAAGAAACGATTCCAGTCAGCTAACGCAAAGTAGGTCACTTCTCTCTCTCTCTCTCTCTCTCTCTCTCTCTCTCTCTCTCTTTCTCTCTCTCTTTCTATCTCTCTCACTCTCCAGGTTTCCCTCCATCGATAGAGTAGGACAGAGAGTTGACAGAAGAGAAAGGGGTGGTGCAGCAAAACGTACAGGGTGGTAACACTGCTGCGGCATAGAACGATGGCGGCAAAAGGGTGGAGAATGCGGAAAACAGTGGCGCCAGTAGTCGCTTCTCTACTGCAGATGATAGCGTACCTGTGATTGCGCTTAATTATATGAATCTACGTGACCGAACATGCATTAGGAAAACCTATTCCATGCTTTACAGTTACCTATGAAAACTTGACACCATTACCAAGTTATTGTTTATTTTTTTTTGGATATCTAACCTCGATAAATTTTCTATTTGAACTTTCTCCGTTCATCGTCCACGATTCGACTTCAAAAATTACAAGACTTTGTTTTATAATCGATAACATAGAACTTCCAACGTAGACAAGAGAAAATAACAAAATTTCTAATACAAGACCATATTTACGTCCATGTAAAATCTAAAGAAAACCTACTTTATCGACATCTAAATATACTTTTTGCAATCAACACGATCTATCTCTATCCAACGACACGAAGTACGAATAACGAAGAGTAATCAAGGATGTCCCTAATAACGCTCGGGGTACCATTAATCAAGCTTCACTAGCTTCGAAAGTCATTCTCGAAAGGTGACACGTTGTCGTTCCGAGGGGATCGTAAAAGTTGCCATAAACATTAGCCTGCTTCATCTCCGTTTCTTTCAACGGCAAATAATTTATGATGATATCGCAATTGCGTGACCCATATTCAGTAATTTCTAACAACGATGTAGCGAGATAACAATTAGAAATTGATTGTTAGAGCTAACTAAGCGATAAAAAAAGGCCTTATGAAGATCCATGAAAAAGTATTCATGGATTCCAAGAATCCTTGGCTAGACCACTTCGTGCGGAAGCTCTGCGCGAAAAATCTATATCGCGCGAAAGCAGAGTGGTGACCTATAAACCTCGTACCGGGTCACTTCGCACCGGCGCACTCCCGAATTCAAATAGGGCGGATCTTAAAATCGGGCTAATCACTTGGGACCTACTGTAAGATTCCTCTGGAGTCCTACTTTGTATTTTTCGACGTTAAAAAGGTACTTTTATTTCAAGATAAGTTTCTAATAAAAACATAGGAAAATGGGTCGATAACGATGCCTTTCGTAACGTATATTTTTTATGTTATATGTTCGATTACTTCTTTTTTATGCTATACCTATACATCATCTTATCCCGTAAATTTTTTAATAGAACGATTTCGTGCAAATTGTTTAACCTTTTGCATTATAAGGTCATCTATGTCATGAAACAATATTTTATATTTTTCTTTAAAACTTTTGAATCGCCTCTTACATGATATCTCATTTACGTAATTAATAAAACACACAACTCAGTAGGAAAACTTTATTTAAAAATTACTTTCAAAGTATATATGTACCTGTGTGTGTGTGTATGTGTGTGTGTATGTGTGTGCGTATGTGTGTGCGTATGTGTGCGTACATGACATATTAAAAATAGAAAAAATCAAATCAAAGCTGCTCGAGAAGAGACTAGGAAAATAAATTAAAGAACAAAGGGTTAAAGAAAATAAAAAAAAAACCAACGACCGTATCAACTGATAAACGATATCGATATTAGATTATTAGTGCTTCCGCTCAAGGACGAATTACTATTAATTGACGCGACACGATTAACATCTTTGTCGAGCATGTAACATATGATACGAAGATGTTTTTCACGACTCGCCGCACCTAGAGCAGAAGGCATAAATAAATTTCGTCGCGTTCCCGTGTTAAATGATTTATCGCGTCAATCTGTGACTTAAAAATCGAATAAAATCTACATAATAACGGCGTACAAAGGTCACGTTCTTATCTTTATAATAATAATAATAATAGGAAAAAATCAATACTTTCTATCCCGTTAATATTGTGATCAGGGTCCTAGATAAGAATAAAATGTTATCGTTCTCTAACGTTCTCTTCCAAATTTTTAACAGGATATAATAATTATTTATAAA